CAATGGATGTATAGACATGGCTACCGTCCAGTCGGATATCTTCAAGCCGACTAAGTATGGCGGCAAATACACAGTAACATTGATTCCTGGTATGTACCCTCCAAAACCGCAGACTACAACAATATTTGGACTTTTCCTAGCTAGCAATTGGCTTCTTGTTTACTTTTTCTTGCCGTTATTCCCTTGTTCTCTTTGTCCCGAAGCTCCGTCAAGGCTAACCGCAAGTCTACTACTATAATAGGTGACGGTATTGGTGTGGAAGTTGCGGAGTCTGTCAAGACCATTTTCAAGGCAGATAACGTCCCCATTGAGTGGGAACAAGTCGATGTTAGCGGTGTTGACTCTGGAAACAAGCACTCTGAAGACCTTTTCAGGGAATCTATCGCCTCCCTACGACGAAACAAGCTTGGACTAAAGGGAATTCTTCACACCCCAATTGAAAGATCCGGCCACCAGTCTTTCAACGTCGCACTTCGACAGGAGCTCGACATCTATGCTTCCATTGTCTTGATTAAGAACATTCCCGGTTATCAGACCCGCCACAACAATGTTGACCTCTGCATCATCCGTGAGAACACCGAGGGTGAATACTCCGGCCTCGAGCACCAGCCCGTCAATGGAGTCGTCGAATCTCTCAAGATTATCACCCGCGCCAAATCCGAGCGCATTGCCAAGTTTGCGTTCAGCTTTGCTCTTGCCAACAACCGCAAGAAGGTTACCTGTATCCACAAGGCCAACATCATGAAGCTTGCGGATGGTCTCTTCCGCAGCACTTTCAAGAAGGTTGCCGAGAACTACCCAACTTTGGAAACCAACGATATGATTGTCGACAACGCCTCTATGCAGGCTGTCTCTAGACCGCAGCAATTCGACGTCATGGTCATGCCCAACCTGTATGGTGGTATCCTGTCCAACGTTGCTGCTGCTTTGGTCGGTGGCCCCGGAATCGTTCCTGGATGCAACATGGGACGAGATGTCGCCGTCTTTGAGCCCGGTTGCCGTCACGTTGGTCTTGATATCCAGGGTAAGGACCAGGCTAACCCAACAGCCTTGATCCTCTCTGGTTCCATGCTCCTCCGCCACCTTGGCCTGGACGACCACGCCAACCGCATTTCCAAGGCTGTCTACGATGTCATTGGTGAAGGGTAAGCCGTTTTACCACTGATAACTCCAAAATAAATCATATATCGCTAACTTTACTTCTATAGTGCTGTTCGAACTCGTGACATGGGAGGTCAGGCTACTACCCACGAGTTCACCCGAGCCGTCCTCGATAAGATGGAGGCCCAGCTCTAAACACCATTCGCTACCACATTAAGTCGCCGGTCGTCAATATAATAAGACAAAAGTCCGCAATGCATTAAAGTAAATAAGCGCCGCATTCCTGATAGCGAACGCCGTTAATCACCTGCTCCAAACCAACCAACCCCCCCAATACCTCCTCAAACCTCACATATCTGTTTATTTATCTGTTGCCTTTTTTTTGAAGTACGGGATTTTTCTTTTTCTTTGCCGTTTAAACGACCCGCTCAAAGCATGACTGTAGATTAAGACTTTTCCTGTATTGTTTGTTTACCCATAGCGATAATACAAAAAAAAAAGGATATATAACTTCTAGTAATGCTCTTCGAAGTGCGCAGTTTTATGAGAATAAATCTAGTTGGTTTAAATGTCAAAGCGGATTGTATGTATTCGTTTCATTCGTGTTCAAAACTGGGTCATTAATGGCTATAGATAAGCAGGGGTCCGGTATCCTTTGCCCAAGTATCTTAGATAATAGCACTCTTCATGAAGTGCATCTCATAAATCCTCGATTGTAGATAAGACGAAGGAAGATAGAGTTTGTTAAGGCGCAATATTCTGCGGCATGATGAGGTTGTGTCAGCCTTGGGCGGCGCCGGAGTCGCGATGGCTTTGTGCTTCTAGGCTCTGGCGAGACTCCGGTTGAAATAGGGGAGATATCCTGGGCATGAAGCGCTAAGCTGGCGCATTAACAGCCGTAAACAGGCGTCCCAAGCTAGTTCATAGCCAACGAGCCCTGCATCGGGTTGCTTTGTCATGTTCAAGCAGGAAGGTATTAAGAGTACTGAAAGCATAAGGGCCTAATCAAAACGCAACTCGTCTCTTTCGTCCGGTATATTTCGAAGTTGCCTTGACAACCTTGCCCTTTTTCTCCATCTGTTCCTTTTTCCTCAATATCCAAGCTTTGGTTCCCTTGATATGTGATTGATCCGGGCCTCGACGACCCTTGGCAGCCTCCCTAGCTTTCCTTCTGGCATCCAGGATATCAACGTCATCCATTCCCTTGACAACACCAGTGATATCACCTTGTAGTCCACCTCCACCAACAGTAAGTACTAGATAGGTCTTCCCATTCTTGGTGCCCGGGTCATCTTCAAGTATACCGGCGCCAAATCCGGCTTTGATAGCGGCGCCGCTAATCATGCCTCTCTGAGAATCATTTTTGGGATAGAACTGGCATACCGCCCTACCGCCGCGTTTTAGAGAAGCGTATAGCCCTTCGAAAAATCTTTTGAGTCTACCTTCGGGGCTTACATCGCTTGTCTCGGCGTTGCAAAGCCATTGAATCGCACTGATACTGATGGCTGCGTCAAAGGTTCCAGGCCTGAAGGGGACGCCCTGTCCAATGTCGGCTAGAAAGAGGTCACCTTCCACATCCCGTTGAAGCGCTACATCGAGCATGCTAGGAGATATATCCATGCCAATCCAAGTATGCGGGCCACCTTCAGATGGGTCGATGGAAGATAGTATCTCGCCAGACAGGCCTGAGCCGCAACCAACATCTAAAATTAGTGAGGGAGACGTGAGTTCCAGTAGCTCCAGGGCTCGATGTGTCATCTCAGACTGGATATTTTTTATCCGGGAAGAGGATGTGTATTTGCGAGATTCAGAGTCATTGTAGAAGAGATCCGGTGGGCTAATCGGTCATATCAGTTAGCAGTTATTTTGTACAAGGTTTCCGATACACATACAGAGTATCCTCCGGACGAGACATGGCCGCGCGTGGAATCGAGCAAAATTACTTCCAATGAAGAATTCTCCTGTGACCCAGCAATAGATAAAGCTCTATATCTTTGTTGCCCGTTTGTAAACTATCATTCTTCCTTTCTGTCAAAATTTCAAGATAAAAAAATAAAAAAAGAAGTCGTGGGGGAAAATAAGCTCTGTAAAGCGGCGTTAGTTGTTTACTATATTGGTGAAATATGACTCGCCGCTTTAACTAACGACTTATCTGGCTGTTTAGGTTATCGTTTCCAAAGCTGCCAGCAAAGTCGATGACGACGAAGACGCAGAAGAACCAAAGACGACATAATACGCGCCGGTGACTACTCTGATGGCGCATGGAATGGCTATATAATATCCCCCGACCAAGAAACGGCTGTCCTGAGGCCCTCCTTGTCCTGTCATCAGCTGCATTTCAACTATTCCAAGTATAGCTTCAACCATGTGGATTCTGCCATTGTTAGGGTACCTGGGGGTGATAATAGGATTCTGCTTCCTGACATTAGCTATTGGTAATATCACCTCCTATATACCTCTATAGAATCTCAAGACTAACATCCCACCAGCCTCCGGTCTCTACTATCTATCCGAACTCGTCGAAGAACATACCGTCCTAGCTCGGCGTCTCCTAACACGACTGATATACACCATAATAACCGTCCATGCTCTTCTCTGGCTCATAGATGGATTTCCATTCTATCTTACTGTCCTCAGCATCTTCTCCCATATAGTTTACGCCGGCAACCTTCGACGGTTCCCAATCGTCAAGCTTTCTGATCCTATTTTCCTATCCTCCTGTGTACTTGTCGGTTTGAATCATTGGCTATGGTTCAGATACTTCTCAAGCCCGGAATATAATTCTAGCGGAGGCAGTGCTCCTACATCATGGAATCGTGGGGGATGGAAGAGTTCCGGCGGAGGGTATTACTACGGCGCGGCCGTGGACACGCCTTCATTTGGTGAAATAGCCTCATACTTCGGACTATGCGTGTGGTTGATTCCATTTGCGCTGTTTGTTAGTTTGAGTGCTGGAGAAAATGTGCTGCCCAGCATGGGTTCGGAGTATGCGACTGGATCAGTGTCGTCAGGTGCTAGCGTTTCCGGTGACAGCACCTCCAGTTCATCCAAGATCAAAACTAAAGGAATGGCAAAGGCGTTAGTTGATGGTGTTAGGGAATGGGTTAGTGAGAGTGGAGAGGTGATGGGATTCTGGGGTGGGCAAAGGACAAGAAGGTTTTAAATGGCCTGGTTTTCTTTTCTGTCTATTCGTTTATCTCCATCCGTGGACAGCGGAATGCCGTTTGATGGTGACACGGAAGGTGGAGTGTCATTATGTATATTTACGACTGCATATTTCATAAGCTGCTTGCATTACACCTATAGTGATCAATGATTACTGTCTGTGATTGATACAAAATAGCTATTGTAAAAATGTATAGGGAAGGAGTTAATCCCCTCCGTGTATTATCTTAAATGTGCAAATCACTTGGTAATCAAGTGCATCGAGGCTAAACCAGTTAGCCAACAGCCGTGATCAAGTACATATTAAGAGTGAGCGGGGGGGAATGAAACAAGGCAAATGGGTATATCCGTTTGTCTCCAGATTTAGAAAAAGGGAGAGAGCGTAAAGGATGCTGTAGAAGAAACAAGATTGCTTGCAGAAAAGAGATAGGAAGAGGTAAAGGCAAAGTCAAAGTAGGTAAGGAGAAGATTATGAAATTACATGATTGAAATGTCAAGTAAATTTGATTGAAATCACGGAAGCCGCCGATGAGAGGGAAAAAGGGACGGAAGAATTGGTATTTGCGTACTCGCTTGCTAACCGCAGACGCGATTCTCTGAAAAGAATAAGAGGTTAGAATAAAAAATAAAAAAAATGGAAAGAACAAAATAGGAAATGCATGTCAATGCAGGTGAGAAGGTGCTTCCATAGTTAGATGGTGAAATAGATTATGAGGTTCAAGTCAGATATGGAATTATTCTTCATCACGAATCTTAGGGAGGGAGGTCTTCCTGCTGCCAAGTGACATGAACAACAGAGAGCTCTCGCGGCGTTTCGATTTGCTTGGTTGTGAAGAGCTGCCTGATGGCGCCAACATGCCATCCAAGCCACCGAACTGGCCGTCTCGGCTAACGTTCACGTTCATTGGAGTTGTGGAAGGGTCATATTGGTGTTGGTGTGAGTGAAGAGATGCGAAACCAGCGTTGATATCGTAGTTTTCTTTTGCGAGTCGGTAAGCATTAGCATCATTGGATTGACCGTGGAAAGAGTTCTGGTCGTAAGCAGGTGTACATGGTAAATCAGAGAACATTTGATGTCGTGGGGAGCGTATGTCTTCCGGGTTTAGTCCCGGAGACTCGACGGTGACTTCGACAATAGAGCCAGGGCTTCCCGGCCCTGACCCGGAGCCTGGGGCAGTCCCAGGAGGAGAGCTGGGGGATGAGCCACGAGCTTGTGGAAAGGATGGCGGAGTATCGCCAAATATTAGGTCAAAGTCCGATAAGAATAGAGAGAATACAGGGGCAGGGATGTTGAGGGTTGGAGCAAAGACGATGCCGACATTTCGAACCGTCATCTTGTTGACGTCTGAATTGTTGACTACGTTAATAAGGAATTCGGAGAGGGCCTTGAGGAGTGCTATATTTGGCTTTGGTAAACGGTGGACCAAAGTGTGGAACGCAGCAATCTTCTTTTGCTTGTCGTCCAGATCTAGAAGTAGGTTAGCATATTGTACGTACGGGATTAGGGTAAACGAGATCTAAAAAAGGGAATGCTAGTACATACCTAGAACCCTGATGAAATCTAAATGAAGCTCCTTGGTTAGTACTGTGATCGGTAATTCCCGAAGATACTGCTTGAATAACGAAGCCACGGCATGGACATCGTAGTATACGTCTCCTTCCAAGAAATCCAAATCTCCTTCGGTATTAAACCGCTCCTTAAGGCCCTTAATAACTACATTAGAGCCACTAAGACGGAAGATGCCTTCCTCGCACTCGGCCTTGCGAGCACGGAGGTATTGGAGACATCGGTATACGACAGCAGGAAGAGTAGTATCGGCTCCAGGCTCAGGACATGCACAGAACTCCACGGCCTCTGCAAGAGGCAATCCAAATACAGCACGTATCGTCTCCTTATGCTCGAGAGAAGATGCACTTCCATTCCCACCCCCAGACGTCGTTGTTCCGCTAATTGAATCCTGGCGGGAGGTGGAGCTAACGGAATCATTGGCAGCCTGACGAGAGAAGCCCCAGATGCTGCGCTTCTTCTCCTTCACAGAAGACATAGTGCTAGGTTTGTTGCCCCAAGCCGACGGATCTTGGATCTTAACCCCATTTGTAGGACCTGAGATCGGTTTAAATGAAGGGGTCAGTGGCATAGCTTGGTCGAGGTGAGATTGCGGTGTTGCAAGGGAGTCGGTGGACTCGTAGCCCTGGGGTACACCCCTAACGGGCGCTTCGGCAGCCACGACATCATCATAGCTTAGCGCACGAATGCCCTCAGCCTCAGGGACGTCTGAGGAATCCTTTGATGAGCCTTTTTTAGTCGCGTTTGTGTTTACGCTTGAGTTGTTCAGGGGTATGCGGGGTTTATTCGCTGTTTCATCTTTGCCGTCTTTGTCCATCTGTGTTTCCTTATCTTTATCGTCGTTCTCCCCCTCGATCTGTTCGACATGGCTGAGCAGAGAATCAACCCAGGCGTCTCTCTCTTCGTCGCTCTCTGCACAAAGTACATGGCGGACTAGAGAGCTTGAATCCTTCTTTTTCGGTTCCAATATCAAGAACGCATGGCGGTATTGGTTATCATCATAGTTTTCGGCCTGCGAAGATGAGCCGTTTTTGCCCTGACTGGATTGTTTGCCTATTTGAGCATGCTGGATGCGTATGGTGCCCAGATGTGTACCACCAGGGTGCTCATAGTATTTCAGTTCTGGCCCATGAAGAACAAAATATCGTGACTTCCAGCCACCGAAGTTTTTACCACGCTTGGTGAGATACCCTTCCATCTTTGGCTTACCATCGTTTCCTACCTGGATAGTTGCCTTGATATCTTGGGAGCCACCAGCAGAGGAATTGACATTCCCACCTCCAGAAGCGAGACTCATCTCATCATCCCTTGGTTCAATGGCATCGGCAGTGAGGAATCGGCAAATCACCAATGCAGCCTCATCGTCCATAGGTGTGTCGAGTAGCGCTTCGAAATAATTATTTAACGCAGCACGTCTCTCATCAACCTTTGCTGGTGAATGACCACTGAACACAGAGCGGTCTGGTATCCTGCCAGAAAACCTACATAAAGCCTTTACCTGCTGGTCCAGCTGCGGAAGAGCTACGATGGGCTTTTCAACCCGCCATAACTCCGACTTAGACGAGCGAGCAAAAACACTGAGTGTGAATACAGGGTCTTCATCGGGATTGCCACGCTCAGCTGCTGAGGAAGAATTGAGGTTCATATAACTCTGCCGTGATGGGCGGAGACGGGAAGAAGAGACTTGAATGAGAATTGAAGGTAATGAATTAGGTGGGAGTAGCAGATCCGGGTATTCATCCGATACAAGGCCACGGTAAATGGTTTTTGGTGTGGTAGCGGCGGTGGGAGTTGAGCTATCAATCTGCACAGCAGGGTCGATGGTGGGTATAGTGGTAGATGTTGATGTTGATGTGGAGGTGGAAGTTGTTGACCCCTTCTTTTCATGTTGTACTAATTGATGGATGTGGGGATTGGTAGGTTGCTGCGATTGCGAGGCCTGGAAAGGTGCGGGGAAAGCATTTCGCAAAGGTGTTGAGATATTCATATGCCCTTCTCTAGGCATACGAGGCATAGGAGATCCGATGGGTCTATCACCAGGCCGTGGGCTTTGCGGCAATCCAGGACTCATTGGTGGTGCCTTGGTAAGTCTCGCCCTCAGAGATTTGGAGCCATCTACAGGGCCTAGGATGGATGCTAGGCTTTGTCCAGCTTGTCTGGCAGCATAGGGAGGCGAGACAGATGCACGAGGGCTGGCAGGTAATCCTACACCAGCAAATCCAGTGGTAGGTGCAGGTCCAGTCCGGGCCTCCTGTTGTGCCTGTTCCTTCTGGAGAGCTTCAGGTGGGTTGATGCTTTTTGCCTTCTTGTCTGACTGACTACGGCTCTTCGACTTCGACTTCGATTTTGATTTAGACAGTTCTTTCTCCTTCTGCGCAAGCATGGCTTCTCGTAGCCGGTCATCCTCTTCGCGGGTTTTCCGTCGGCCGCGTTCGAAGGTAGGAAGGTCATTCTCCTCGGCGGTTGAATCGTATTCGGAGTCTGATGCGACTGCGTTGGAGTTGCTGCTAGAGGACTGGTTGTTCGACTGCTCTACTTCGATATGGGGACGAAGACGCTGGCTACCCGAGAGCTGTAATGGCGCTGGAGGTGCACGGCGAGACGGCGGCGTGGGTTGTGATTTAGGGGGTGATTCGGATACAGGGGTCTGCACTGGCAATTTAGCCGCCAGAGAAGCATCGTCGTTGGTGCCCTCTTCGGGGAGACCATTAGGAGTTTCAGTCGCATTTCTGTCGGCTTCTGCTTTGATGGCATCCTCCTTCCATTTTTCCAACTCTTTGATTTTCTTCTTCAGTTTGTCCTTGTCCTCCATCGCACGCTCTAGATCCTTGTTAAGCGCCAGGACCATACGACGCTGTTTTTCCACGAGTCTCCATAGTTGCGAGTTTTGAGAGACAGCCTGCTGTTTCTCTTTAACTAGATGTGCAATGACAGCCTCTGGCGAGCCGTTAGCGGCCGAAATCAGGTTGCTGATATCTGTGGAAGTGATGGCGGGGCTGTCGACGGAGGATTTGTGCGAGTGGGTTGTTGGATGGGAGCTGGAAGAGAGAGAGGAGATCGCGGAGTCTATAGAAGAAGTGCGCGGTGTGGGTTTTGGGGTCGATGAGGTCGATGCAGGCTTGCTGGTGGAAACTTGTTGTTGTTGCTGCTGCTGCGGCTGGTTCTGGTGGTTGTTTGTTGTGCTCGTCGGCATGATGGGTGATGTATTGGGAGTAGAACCAGAAGCGGCGGACATGGAGACTGAATCTGAAGGTGAGTGTGAGTGTGATGTATCGTCCTTGTCTGCACTTGACCCCTTCTGTTCGCTTTCCTTCTCTCCTCCCTCTGGTTCTCTGCTGGTAGCCATCAGTTCCCTAGACCGTTGTAGACGTAGAGAAAGCGCCTGGCTCGCCCCCTGACCCTGGTGCTGGCCCGCCATGCGCTCGTGGAAGTAAAGGGCAGAAGGAGAAGGCGACAGAGAAGAGACTGGGCTAACTCTGTTGTCGAGAGAGTGAAAGGTCGGCGTCGTCTGGAGCTGGCGAGGAAAAGGGGAGTAGGAGACTGAGGTATCCAGTCTGGCGGCTGGGGAGGAGGGCGAAGGGGCAGCAGGAGGAAGACGTGAGGAAGGATGTGATGCGGCCCCCGTCTGAGGAAGAGCACGTTGAGTGTGGGCTAGTCTGCTATCGGTATGGATGTTCAGGGCATCCTGGGGCAGCCGGGGTAGTTGCTGTTGCTGTTGGTTTGGTAGATGATGGTGTAGATGTGAGGAATAGGACGGGTGCAGCGCATGGGTAGACAGCGGACGAGAGAGCACGGGAGCGGCTGAGTAGCGAACAGGGGGGCGGCCGTCTCCCTTCACCTGATACTGCTGCTCTTTCTGCGCACTGTGCTGCGGCCGGAAGTGGTACTGCTGCTGCTGCTGCTGGTGCGGTTGAGGGTGCTGCTGCTGCCGCTGCTGGCCAGAGCTGTCATTCATCGTCAGGGGAGAAGCAGAGGCAACAGACGCAGCAGACGACGAAGACGCAGCAGCACAATCAACTGGTGGGACTGGGGCTGTTTCGTGATGGGATGGACCTGGCTGCTGTGCAAGGGCGTGTGCCAGGGCATCTTGACGCTGACGCCGGACATACGACATGGTCAGAGATAGACAGCTCCTCTACCTAACTACCCTATCATCGACAGAAACGGGAGAGGGAGTTCTCTCTGCTGGCGGCGCCGCGTGAAGAGAGGGACGGCTCCTCTGGCTTTTCTGGCTTGCTGTCTGCGGGTTTGCTCAGGGGCTCAAAGGCGCCATCCTCGGACTAAGGCATGTAGCTAGCGGAGATATCGTCTAAAAAGTATGCTAAATATGGGGCCCGCCGAGCCCTGCACTGTCAACGAGTTAGCAGAGAAGCACCGCCGGAGCGCTGGAGGGTCGTTTTGGTACCTGGAGCTGCGTCTGGCTGTCTGTCTTGTCTTCTGTCGAGATGTTGCTGCGCAGGCCGGAGGTGAAGTCGACGAGATGTAGTTGTTTATTTCCTAATCAGGCGACCAGGTCACGCTGTCTACTTAAAATCTGCTTCGAGTCACTTTCTCTCTCTATCACCACTTCTCTACTCGCAGCCTCTACATAGTGAACGGCATCTACAGCAGTATTGATTGCTATTGACGGAGAGCTCCAGCAACTGCGTGGGCCGGCCAGAGAAGGACGAACACCTCCCTCGCACACGACTGGTTGCAGCTCTTTGTGGCGTCTCTGGCCCTCACACATGCATCACCAAGGCTGCATGCTGCACGTCTTAGGTCTGTACTCACCCGCGGGATAAGAATAGGAGCTCAGGGGCAGGCCGGTCGAGACAGGTCGCAAACGACAAGACGAGAGGATGCAGATGCAGCAGATGCAGCAGATACAGCAGAAAGCAGCGGCCTGGGGAAGAAAGGCAAAACGCCCAAAAAGAGGACAAGGGAATACGAGATGTGGGCACTGCTGGCTTCCACGCTTCTGTGCTGCCAATCTCGTATTCTTTTTTTTTTCCCCCTGATTGCGAGAGGCGACTGGTGGCGGAGAGATGGATGGAGAACGATTGACAAGGACTTGACAGATGCTTGATATGCATGGAAAATGCAGGTTCGACATTAGAAGGTTGGTTCTTTTTTTACACAGACGTTTCCTCGCCATAACTACGTGTTATCACCCCGGACACCTGCAGAAGATGAAGAAACTTGATAAAATACATTAACGGAATGGCAACTCCCAACACCGAGCAGTCAAGTACAGAAAAGATTAGGGTCATGATGAGAAGAGACGATGAGGTGGATGTGGTGGAGGAGAAGGCGATGATGTTGGTAGTGGTGGCGGCGGTAGATGGCAGGTACTAAATGATATTGCCGGCCATGCCCATGAAGATGGCCTGTGCAGCGAGCTGGAGAGACCAAAGGCCGACCTTCTTGAAGCGTCGTGTCCGAGCCTGCTCGTCGACAACGTCTCGTGCAAAGGCATCGTATGTCTGTAAGGGGTCAGTTAGCTTGGGCTGCGTAGAAAGAAAGAGCAAGTAAGTACACACCTCTGCAGAGAGATCGTCCATCAGTCCGCTGTCGAAGATGGTCCAGCTACCATCAAAGTCGCTGGCTCGCTTAACTAGCCGGCACTGGATGGGGATGAAAGTTCGTCGGCTGTTGATATACGCCACTATGGGCCTGATAAGGGCATTATTAACGTAAGACAAGTCCCGGTTGAAAATGGGCACTACCGCGCGTACATTGTTCAAGTGTATGCGTAGGTCAGTGACCACAAATCGCTTGTTGTCTTCGTTCTGGGCCAGTGCACTATCATTTGGATGGTATCGGTCGGCGGTAACAGTGGCTTCCATCCTATCGTAGAAATCGGACATGACCTTGCCTAGACTCTCGTCTGATTCAGCTGGGAGCATAAGGTCGGCAACAATGTCGACAGTGCCCTCATGGATCCATGAGAAGGGGCCTTGGACTCCCGTGTTGAGATGGTCGATGTTCAGACCGTCTATGCGGATCCGGTTATGTTTCTTCCAGGGACTCCGGCCACCATCTTCTTCTAGACCGCCTTGTAGCTGGGCTCCTGTGTATCGATGTGTTTGGCGTGGGTGGATGGTGAATAGAGAATTGTCATACGAACCAGACATCATGTTCGCAGACAGGAAGTCATACATAAGCCATTGCCGTCGTAGCCTTGGTAGGTCGCATGAGAAGATGCTGAGGGTAAATGGCCGGAAGTTGTTAGGCTGGTATATAGTGACCAAAACGTCTTCCATCTTGAAAGAGTCCAGCTCAAAGTCGCCTGGGTTATGCTCTACCCGGTATGATTTGGGATCAATCTGAGCATCCGCTTCTGACCATTTGACATGCGTTCTGTCAACAATACCCCGAATGCCCTTGACATGTACATCTTTCAGCAGACCATGGCTATTAAACCATTTGGTAAAGGATAGCGTCACGTTGACTGTATCTATAGAGACATCGAATTGCGTGTAGTTTGAGTCCTCTGTCTCTTCATCGTTCTGCTGGCGAGGGTGGTCCATCTCCTGAAATGCGGCGGCGGCAACTGTCTTCGACGATCCTTTGCTCACATTCCCTTTCCCTTGGCCTGGTCTGCGGGAGACAAACACATTCTTGAAGGTTATCACTCCGTCACCCCATTTGGGCACAATTGCCGATTCAAAGACAACTTTCACTCCGGATGACCGAGTTAGATAGTTACCGATCCATCTTGCAAGGGTTTCTAACAGCTGTCAGTAACGGGTGTTTTCGTCTTCGTGGAATTAATGCATAACTCACCTTGTGCAAAAACGGTATTGATAGTAAATATGAGGAGTGAGAAGAAGGTCGTCGTCCCCAGTATAATCCACAACACATGCCCAAGCAGAACCCAGGAGAAAAAAGTACTAATTTCATCAACATTGAATGGCCGGACACTCCTGATGGAAAACCACTTGAATCGCACTTTCAGCCGCGACCAGAATCCCGTGGCGGCAGCTAGAAGCTCTTCCTTAGTTGGCCGATGCATATGCGGTAGCCGGTCCATCAGATGGTATCGACCATGTCCTCCATCAGCCTTTGGAGGTCCAGCTGGAGTCTCTGGCCCAGAAACCGGTTTAGATGCTTCTGCATTCACGTTGGATGGCTCTGATGGCTGCTGTCTTCTCGTTTCTGGCGTATGCTCCTTTTCGCCTCCTTCCTTCGATGTATGTAGAGACCGTCTCCATCCCCAGCTGGCAGCACTCTGAAGCCCCAGGCCGTTCAAATTGTTTCCAAATCTCCTGCAGCCATGGTAGACACTCTTCTCCGTCGAAGCAGCTGCACAAGCTGCCGCTCCCGTCTCTACCGTAGCTGCACTCCTCGTAGACGTTGTACCAACCACCAACAATCCGCCTGATGCAAACTGGCGACTGACCTTCCTCACATTATTCGGTCTCGAGCTCGAAAATCGCCGTATCGTCCGATTCCGAAATAGATTGAAGCCGGAAGCCGAGCCATGGCAGTTCTCTGTGAAGGGACCGAGAGCACCCTGTCGACCGGGCTGGAGGAAGCTGGACTGGAAGCCGGAGGTAAAGCTGGTGCGCAGTGTCGAGAACAGCCGTCGTCCTATATGTCCTGACATGTCTCCTCTGGCATCATGAACGGCCCTAAGAAGCTTCTCTGATGCCTCCTTGCTCAAATTGATGCTTCTGGTCTTCCGTCAACAGCTGAAGCAAAAAATACCGTCCAAGAAATTTTATACGTCAAGCTTCCGCAGGTTTTTCGATAAGATTGCGATGTTTGTCTTGTTTGCATCGTGGATTTTCCCACCACATCGAAAGAATATCATTTTTATCGCAACTTCAACATCTCGATCGACGGTAACTTGACCACGGCCTGCGCTTAGTATTTGATCTGAAGATAGCCCGACGGTAATAGACATACCGGAACCATGCCAGCTCCCACCGCGCGCCTGGACAAGCCAGAGGAGAATGAGGTTTCTGCTCTACAGCCAGCCCAAAGTTTGTTCTCCCAAAATTTTCTTATCAGCAATGATGTGATGAAGGTGCAGACAGATACTGATGATATGGTGCAGATGAAGAGGATATCATGATAGATACAAGCGGTGCTCAACCGGAGGAGCCGTCGGCACCGCAGACACAGGGACAGGAAGACAGTGAAATGGCCGTAGACGAGGAAGGACGACTGCGCTTCACGCCCATAAAAGCATCCGGCAACGCATACAGAGTCGAAACTCGCAAAGTACCGATCCCTCCTCATCGCCTGACGCCTCTCAAAGCCGAGTGGCCAAAGATATATCCTCCACTGGTCGAGCATCTGAAGCTCCAAGTACGCATGAACATGAAGAACCGAGCAGTTGAGCTGCGCACATCGAAACACACGACCGATACAGGAGCCCTCCAAAAGGGTGAGGATTTTGTCAAAGCCTTTACTCTTGGGTTTGATACCGATGATGCTATTGCTCTTCTCCGACTGGACGATCTTTACATTGAGACATTTGAGATTAAGGATGTCAAGACGCTTAATGGCGAACATTTGGGCAGAGCTATTGGTCGAATAGCAGGAAAAGATGGGAAGACAAAATTCGCTATTGAAAATGCCAGCAGGACTAGAGTTGTGCTTGCAGACCAGAAGATACACATCCTCGGAGGATTCAGAAATATCCATGTTGCTAGAGAAGCTATTGTCAGCTTGATTCTAGGAAGCCCTCCGGTAAGTTTGTCCCCGCCTTATAGATTTACTTGGTTCATGGCTAATAATTGTATAGGGCAAGGTATATGGAAATCTACGTACAGTTGCCTCGCGAATGAAGGAACGATTTTAAAAGTAACTCATGATATTCGGTCTCATGTCGGCGTTTTGGCTTTGCATTTTGAATGCTATTGTTCGGTGTTAATTCTTTCTTTTTTTTCCTTTTATGATGCGGAATATATGGGTCTGGGAGCGAATACCTATATTATGGGATTTAGACAAAAGAAGTTCAATCGTGCCTCGGATAGGAGAATATTAAGAGATGCATTGATACCAGATTAAAACTTCATCATTTAAGCGTGCGTCAGAGAAAGATGCGCTGGTAATATCGTCTATGAAAACATGCTTAATCCCGCTTGAGTGGGCGGTACACCTCCTCTATACCATCCTTGGTGACAATCATCATCTGTAGCCCATCTCCAACCTCAATATGTCTCTCCACAGAACTAGTGAATGCATCATGTACCAGCTGCTGTGCACCCTCTCTGGAAAGAGGCTCGGGCTTCCTGGCCACAGATGCGTTACCCTGACCGCTGCCGGGAACATACTGGTTTTTGAAATTGACCTGGTTGTCCAAGAAAGGCATCATCAAACTAGCCGCCGATCCAGCCGCTCTACAGAACTCCCTCTCATACGAACCCACAGGGTCATAGCTGTACAGAGCTCCCTTGCCCTCTTCATCAACTCCAGCCAGAATAGCATGTACGTAGTATGGGAAAAACCGTTTTGAATATAGGATCGTGGATAGACGCTGTGCACACGCTCTAACGGACATTGGCTTGTTGTGGTGGTATTCATACATCTTGACGATGGCGTCGAGTCGTTCCTTGAGAGCTCGGCCGTCGGCAGAGAAGCCAACGACGCAGAGAATAATGTGGCCACCTTCTCCGGTGTGCTCGTCTGCGCCAATCTTGAATACCTTGGGTGCATATCTGGTGTTGATGTTGTACCCAGAGACTGATCGTGTGTCGCCTGCTAGGATAGCGAAATTGTCACCGGCTATGCCGAGAGTAGAGCCACCATTGTCCGTGTATCTAGCCAAAGATGCATGTTAGTCCCTGGTATAGCGTACTACTATGCTGCAGGTGAAACTTACGGGTAGAAGCTGTGCTGTTTGGCGCCGCTTGACTGCTCTGAGAAAGAGTACCCAACAGGCTGGCTGTGAGGGTCTGGGTGGGTTAATAGCGAGTTCATCTTGAGGGGTCGAGCTGCTATACGGCCACAAACAACACGTTTATCAAGGACCAGAGATGAGAATAGGCCGGGTATCGCTTTGTGGATTGCACTGTTGGTTGTTGACTGTTGATATGTTGACTTGGCTCTGCTTGAAGCTCTTCAAAGCTCGAAGAACGCAAGCTGGAGTTGCCTGGATTACATAAGCCCCTTCTCTCCTACTTTGCGCCGAACCGGGAGGAAAAGAAACAACAAGCTGGACAGGACACTGTCAAGTTGCTACAGCTACTGCGGGCCTACCTGTTGGCGTTTGTTCGTGGAGTGATGCTTGGGTTAGGTTCATACGAAAGCAGCAGTGAGGATGAGAGCACGAAAGATACAACTGTTGGTGTAAAGGGCGCACTAGCGGTTGACCAGAAGAAGCCGAGAGACAGTGTGCTTGAGGCAAAGACTCTGTCTAAAGAGCCGGTTGAGGATACGCAGAATGAAGCAACAGGTTAGTCAGACTTATTATCAAATTGATGCCGTGGACAATCCTTCTCACAGTTGTGTAGGACCTAGTGTGCCATCCACCGAACCTGTGGACGATTCTACCAAACCTATAGTTGGACCTTTACCACCTGCCGCCTATACACCACAGCTGTCAGAAGAAACCACGCAGTCCGACAAACCAACGTCTTTCATATCCATTAGTGCACTACGACGAGACTTGACGCTGCCTCCGTTTCCAAATCTCGACATTCCCCCGTCTCCTCCCGGGTCACCCAGTCCCGAAATGAACAAGAAATTCGAGCATTTCCTATCCCTAAAGAAACAGGGCGTTCATTTTAACGAGAAGCTGGCTTCTTCTTCTTCACTGAAAAATCCAAATTTACTTCAGAGTCTCATGAAGCATGCCGGGCTAGACGAAAGGGCGCAATATGGTACCTCTTTGCCCGCAGAAATATGGGATGTTACGACTCTCCCGTCATGGGCTTACAAAGATGAGCTGTCAAAGAGCCAGCAGGCCATACGCCGCAAGCTGGAAGAGAAGAAGACTGACCGGGATGCAATCGAATTTGTCTCTGGGTCTGGGAACGGTACCCCCGCGAGTGGCAGATTAAAGTCTAGCGCGGCTGAGCGGGTCATGGCTGGTCTCAGTCGAGAACCATCTCCGCTTAAGCTGGACCAGAGCAAGCGAAATGATCAGGATAAACGACAGAGACGGGTGGATTTGGAATATAGAAGACATCGTTCGCGGTCACCGGGCAAAAGGAAACGATCTAGGTCTCGATAGGATGCATCCTTTATATTTGAGTATTAGGAAGGAGTTTGGGCGTAACTGGAGAAATAAAATATACCCGGGATAGACAGGCTTTACAAAGTCACTTACCTACTAATATACAAATTACTATCATTTGTAGTTCCTCGCATCTTGCTGGCAGTAGAATCACCCGTTGGCGTTGCTGATACTTAGTTAACTGGCGAGGCGACATGTTTGCCTTGTTTGTTTTCTAGGCTGCGCTTATGTCGCAAGCTCACCAAAAACCTCCAAGCTGCATCAACAACGGACAACATCCAGCAATAAGCCACGGCCTGACCCAACGATAGCGGTTCTGTCTTTTACTCTTTCCGCAGTTACTCGGCTCCGTATTTCTTTGTCTCCTTTTTCATTACGAAGTCTTGACCCAACTATCCATCATGAACCACTTTCCAGAAGTCTGGGGTCGGGTGAGCACGAAGACATACAACCCGCCATCAGCTTCCTTTAGCTAACTACTGATTTGCTGTAGCCGCGAGACGATGTGTACGGGGCCTATGATCACTCATATCTCCAGACGTCCGGCCCAACGACCCATACCCAGCGCCCAATCGTGACAGGAACCTCCGTTATTGCTGTCAAGTTCAAGGACGGCGTCGTTATAGCGTCGGACAACCTGGGTGAGCTATCCACAGCATGTAGCATGTCGCGGTATTTAACTGTACTAATATAAATGTGCCAGGCTCCTATGGTTCTCTTGCCAGATTTACCGACTTGAAGCGTCTCCGGGCCTTTGACAACTCTTCCGTAGTTGGATTTGGTGGTGACGTCTCTGATATGCAGTATATCGACCGCGTCTTGAACTCCCTAGACATACAAGAAAACTATTCTACGTACGGAGAGCATTCTCTCAACGCCAAAAACCTGCACACATATCTGTCCAAACTGCTTTACCAGCGACGATCCAAGTTTGACCCCCTCTGGAATCATATCCTTGTTGCCGGACTCGACGATGAGGGCAAGCCATTCCTCAGCTCCGCAGACTTGCTAGGAACAACTTACTCCGCACCAGCCCTTGCTACAGGGTTCGGAGCCCACTTGGCTGTGCCTATTCTCCGCCGATTGTTCCCAGAGGAAAATGGGATAGACAACATCACGAAGGAACAGGCTGTTGATGCTATGAAGCAATGCATGAGGGTTCTTTTCTACAGAGATGCTAGAAGCTCAGACAGATATTCTATTGCGGTTGTTACCAAGGACGGTGTGGAGCTTAAGGAGAATGAAGCTCTGGAGAACCAGAGCTGGGCTTTTGCTGACAGGATCAGAGGCTATGGCACCCAAGTCAACTAAGCATGACCAGTTCTTTTTCAATTTCAATTTGGTACTGCTTAGTGTTTCTCAGCCAACCCTGAGATAGACGTTGCAATTATATCCAAGAGTTAAATCGTAATGACCCCCCATATTGATGCTCTCAACTGCATGGGATAACTATAACTTAGAGGAGCCATTGACATGGACAACCTTGTTACTGCATGATCCAACATTTTCAAGTGATACCTCCACTCTGTCCCCATCTTTTAGCCAAACCTGAGGTTTTCGACCCATTCCAACCCCCTGAGGGCTGTAGTATAATTTTATGTTAGTAACCCACGCCGGAGTACCGAAGGTATTGCAGCACTTACGTTCCAGTAAATATAATATCACCAGGCAATAGTGTAGTTCCCTGCGATAGGAAAGCAACCGTCTCTGCTACGCCAAATATCATATCCTTTGTATTCGAGTTTTGCACGGTTTTACCATTGACCTTCGTTGATATCTGCAGTGCGTTCGGGTCTGGAATTATCTTTGAAGTCACGATTCCAGGACCGAAGGGAGCCCACCCGTCAAAACCCTTGCCTATACCCCATTGGCTTCCACCACGTTTTATCTGCCATTCTCGATGGGACACATCGTTGCCCACTGAATAACCCAGCACATACTCAAGCGCCTTCGACTTCGGTACATTATGAGCCTCTTTCCCAATGATGATCACCAACTCACATTCATAGTCCAACCCTTCGCATTCCTGGGCCATTGGATGGACGGGTATATCATCCGTCGGCCCACTAGCTGCTGTGACAGGCTTGAAGAAAAGGATTGGGTATTTGGGTAGAGGCATGTTCGATTCTTTGGCATGTTCAGCATAGTTCAAGCCCAGGCATCGTATGGTCTTGATATCTTTCCGAGCCAGTGGACAGAGCAGCTTCTTCACTTCCTGGACTTGATCTGTGACCTGGTGATTGCCGAAGATTTCTCCCTTGATGATTCTGGCTTTGGTAGTTTTGGCAAGGTCACTAACACCGGAAGGAAGAATGGCATCTCCATGGTAGACCAAGCCGTCTTTGGCCAGGAAACGAACAAGGCGCTGATGAGACGGAATTAGTTCTATACTGTCCTATTGAATGATGGGCTCTCTTACGGAGAATGCAGGCATCTTTTCCTCTTTAGATTGGGTTTCTTATTGATACATCGCCCTCAGTCAAATGGAGTAAATCCATCAACAGCCCAGTCATGGCGATTCAGCCGAATTGCCGGACAACTTGGATTACTAATCTCCACCGGCGCCTGTTCTGGGCTAGTTAGTTAGGAAAATTGTGCTCCCGAACTGAAAATCAACAGGCCCAATCTGCAGGTGACCGGCGCGGTTCATAGACGTGTACAAACAAATTTCGATATTGGCTAGGAGACCCGGAAGGAAGCAAGAGGAAAGGGTGCGTTCTTAAGCATGGGGCAAATACGATTCTCAGGCCTACAACGAGAGGTCCTGAGCTTGTACCGCCAGTGCTTCAGAGAAATTCGCAAAAAGCCTATTGTGAGTGCAGTTTATTTGTTTCACGGTCATCAAAGTCCAACGGCTAATTGATGGTATAATAGAATTCCCAGAGTAACTTCAAACAATTGGCCAGGTATGCGCTTTCCGTGATTACGTTGGGAGGACCACGTACACCACAGGCGACTTCATCCATAACCGCGTTCATTTGCACCCATGAAACATCGAATATCCAACCTCGTTCAGCAAGCTAACGGAAAAATAGGGATGAATTCCGAAAAAATCAAACCATAAGCAAAAAGGATTTTGCCGCCATCGAATTTCTGCTGAGGAAAGGTCACCGCCAGGTGGAGATGTATTCTTCGCCAGCCATCCGAAACGTTACAAGGTGATACCCTCTTCGACAAAGAAGATGGCCTTCAGGAAAATCGAAGCTCTAGCCAGAGGGGTGCATGGCCCATACATATCGCCTACTGGATTCCATCCGCATCTCCAATAACCTTGATCGAAATAAATTTATATCACGTGATCTTCATCGGAAACAAGCTTATCCGATAAACTTCCAGTGATGGAACGTGCACGAAGCTTCTGGAAGCTTGGCGAATCTTGGCGAAGAAGCTGGCGAAATCGAGAAGAAACTCGAAGGTTCAGGCAGCATCAAGGAGCCTCGAGTATCACGAAGCAGCCTGGAGATGATTGTTAATGTGAAGGCAATCTACAAGGATCGCGTAGCTTCTAGGACAATGGCTTCGGTCTATATAAACAACCAACTTGTCGATGAGAATCGATCTTCCTTTCTCATCACAGACAATCAGAACAACTCGACTTCTCTATGCTATTCAAGAACAACAGCCTTCAATCCACTCTGAGAAACATTCGAACTCCAAAGACTACTCTTTACAAAGTCAACAAGATTCCATCTTCAAGAAACATTATCAACACCACTCTATCAAACTACTACAACAACAAAATGGCCTTCTTCCCACGTCTCTCTGGTGGTGAATTCACCCCCCTTTTCCGTCTTCTTGACGACTATGATGCCCACCGCGCTTGTGCATCTGAGACCAACATCGCTCGCTCCTTTGCTCCAAAGTTCGATGTGAGGGAGTGCAAGGATGGGTACCATCTTGACGGAGAAATTCCCGGTGTCAGCCAGAAGGATATTGAGATTGAATTCACCGATCCTCAAACTCTCGTTGTTCGCGGCAAAACCAAGCGCGAGTACACTTCCACCAACATGAACAACAAGGCTATCGAAGAGGCTCCAACTCCTGCAGCTATCGAAGATGAGCCGGAATCTTCCAGACGCAACTCCCACCAAGCCACTGTTGAAGATGAGGAGCCAGCCACTACTTCTCGCCCTGCCTCTCCCGCTAGGGACAACAAAGTCACCAAGGCTAGCAACAACTCCGTCAAGAAAGCTGATGCACCTTCCTTCAAGTACTGGATGACCGAACGCTCTGTTGGCGAGTTCAACCGTGTCTTCAAGTTCCCATCCCGAGTCGACCAGGATGCAGTCAGTGCTAGCTTGAAGGATGGTATCCTCTCCATCAAGGTGCCCAAGGCAGCTCCACCAACTCTCAAGAAGATCAACATTGCGTGAATGAGAAATGAAGACCAATATGTCTTACCCTTTTAATGATGCATGTGACTTTACGAACGATCCTGCGCATTTTATGATGGTTATGGGAAATTGATGAGTCTGGCGCATTCCGACTTTTTCTTTCGCTGTTCTGTATTCTAATTTGACGTTGTGACTTTGTTTCCTTGGTGCTTTCTATGACACTGTATTTATTATAGCCAGCCTCTTACCAGTCTTTACATTAATTAATTCACATACTTGTCTTTCAACAGCTGTTCCATTCCTCAGATTATCAAAACCAAAGTACACTTATATTCATACAGTTATTTATCCTATGCTATCGCGTAATATAGCGGGTAGTTTCCCGAAGCTATGTGCTCTGCCAATATTACGGCAGGAAGAATTGTACATATCCCCGAAAGTTAAAGAAAGCAATGAATGACTCAGTCAAATAATCAATGCAGTTGAATACTTCAAAATTTTGAATAGAAAAAAATAAATCAAATACAATTCCACCCAACCAACCGGCCAACCATCCACAACATGTCCGCTAAAAGGCAAATACTAATGAATAACTAAAAACATTAAGAAAATAAGGCATGCAGCCCTGTAAAAGGATTGGTTGTGGTGTCATTAAATTCGTGACATGGAATATCACATTAACGTAAGATATAAGGACAAACGATGGTCTGCTGGGTATATATAGAGTGAGTGTAGCAGCTAGGTATTGTATGTTCAGCGAGGGTCATATAAGCAACGTCATGGACGAGTAAAATCTTGCACAAAATAAAAAAAGTATATGCATGCTTTTAAGCCTTGGTGAAATAGGGATGCTTTGAATGGAATGGAAGTTGGTATCAGAAGATAGAAAGAAGGGAAGAAGAATGCGAAAGAGGTGTAATCAAAGATAACTTTCAATATGGTTGAGCGCACCCGGTTTCTGATGCGCCAGAGCCATTTGCGCCGCACAGGTTGTCGATGGGGCGCTGGGTAGGTGACTTGAGCGCCTCTCAGTCACAGTTGATTTAAGTTGGGAGAAGCGGTATGATGTTGGTGGTGTGGATTGATATTTCGCTTTCCGAGACTTACGGTCGAAGAAGACATCACGGACCGGCGATGGTGGGAAAGTAGAGTATCGACCGCTTGTCTTTTGATTTATAGACGAGGAGAAGCTGAAGTGTGATGCGCTCCTATGGAGTTTTTTGGGTTGCCGAGATGTAGCTGTAGACTGGTTGATCGATTCCTGAAGGGACTTCCTAGGTTGGTAGTCGTCGAGAGCAGACTTGTTAAGGTCTAGATTTAGCGGGAGGAGCTCCAGGTCTAGTTCTGGGTCGGTGGAGAGGGATCCCCACAAGTTGTTGTCTATTTCAACAGGGGTGTGGTTATCGATATAGTTTATCAGGTCTGCAGGACTGGTGTCGGTAAGCAGCTTCAGGTCGCCCATCGAAGTTGAGCGCGATAGGGGCGGGGTGAGCATCTGGGCTTTGGGAAAGCGAGGATCACCAGGCGGTGGGAGAGCCGGAAGAGGTTTGTCTTTGTTAATACCCTTTGACGGCCTCGAAGAGGTGGCATCTGAAGCCGATCTAGCGTGGACATGGGGCGCAGTGGGTGGTTTGCCTCCTGTCATCCGGGCGGGAGTCGAGTCTCGATACCTCCTATTAGGTCGTTTAGTTGTGCTGCTCTTGGGTGGGTTACTCTTGGTCATATTGCTAGCAGACGCATGGGACTTGGTTGCATGTTCCTTGCTAGAGTAGCTCTTGTAGGAAGTCCCCTTTGCATGGCTTCTAGCATGGCTTCTTGACGACCGTTCATTATTAGAACTTCTATGAGTACGATCCTTAGGGGAGGGTTCCCTAGGAGAAATGCACTTGGGAGAAATTTCAATAGCAAGGCCCACAGGAGAAGGAATCTTACACTGAGTATGTTGGCTATCCGCAGGCCGGGGGCGGGAAACCTGCA